AAACTTTCGCAGACACTGTTTCTGGTAGTGGTGACCTGACAGCTGCCACTAATGAAGCATCTATGTGCATGATTGCAGTTTCAAATGATGTTCACATAGCCCCTGTTTTTGTGCACAAGGTTCACAAGCCTCAACTGAGTCTCACTTACTCTTTTCCAGAAAGTTTTTTCAGGCTCTTCTGGCACAGGTGGAGTTGTGGCATTTGTTGAGCTGTGACAACAGGGAGGGAAGCAATGAGTGATGAGAATGACTGCTTAGCTTCTTTGAGTGATTACAACTTTGAAAGTCATAATCATGATATACACCTGCAAAGGGTAATGAACTGCCTTCTTCTGAGGAATGAGAGACAACCTGCTTTGCCCCTAGTAGGATGACACTTGCTGATATCACAAACAGCTAGAAGGGGAAATAAATCTGGGTACAATGGAAATTACAGAGCACTCTCAGACAAAATTTCTAGTCATATCCCTCTCAGGCACTTTGAAAGTTTGCCATGAGTCAAAAGCTGTGAGATGTGGCTGCACAATGAGTGACTATTGCACCTTGCAAATAGCACAAAAAAGCTTTTACTCTGGCTAGACTTTTGTCTACTGGAAAGGCTAATTATGATTTCTGCACTTGCATTGATGGAAAATGGCAGTTCTGACATTTTCTCAGCTATATGACACCTCTGCAGAACTGGTACAAGCAGGGAAATGTGTCACAATTGTTAGCACTTCCAACAAGCTGGAGATTTGAAAAGAAATGGTTTTCAGTAAAAACATGACATGATCTTCAGAATTCAATTGCAGAACACTTAGCTGTCTTTAAGCTTACATCTCAATAGGGCATATTTTATGGGATCCTGGGGTATGTGGTTACACAGACACAAGAGAGTTGCCCACACAATGATGCCACTGGTACCAGAAGTTAGCTATGGGTTCAAAAGAGATTGCCATTTTAAAGCACAGTGATGGAAGGGTTTGGCTTAAAAGGGGAGAAAGAATAAAAAAGGGGGAGAAGGGAGTGTGGCTGACATGGAAGCTGCTCTACAAGGCTGACTTGACAGCTAATCAACTTGCTGCTGCATTCCCGATTAATGTGCTAGAAAATGTGAGAGAGCAAAGGCAGTTGCATAAACATGCCATGTATTAAGATAAGGACTTATTCGATTTTCCATTTTTTATAAGCCCAAACAACAGTGAGACCTTTCTCTACCAGAATCGGTCCTACAACAGCATGTTAGATCAGTGAAAGTCTCAAAACTGCTGCTTTCAACAGCACAAAGGGCCAGTCTCAACAGACTTGCATAACACAGAAAATGTCTCAATAGAGCACCAGTTTTCCAGTGTGATTGACAAGGCATGGATGATGTTACCACCAACAGTTCAAGAGAGAGAGATTGAAAATAGGACCTTGCATTTCCCTTACATGACATTATTCAACTCTGGGAATGAGAATAAACCCAAAGTGTGTATCAGTTCATGTGATAACAATGACTTTCTTGACAAACAAAGCTATAAAAGTGCTGAATGGACTCTTTGGTGGTGCTTCTGGCAGAATGAACATTTTAACTAGACAAGACTGGTAGAAAAAGCGTAGACTGAACCAGATCAGTCTCTGTGGTGTTTTGGCCAGACTCACGTGACTCAATCCTGTGAGTCAATTTCCAACTATGTGCAAATGTAAATATTTATTAGCATTTAATACAAAAATCCTCCTGCATCCTTCCAAGTATGGCTGAACTCTGTTGAATGGCTATATTTTGTCGTCTGACATATTTTACTACCATCCTGTAGTTTAGTTAGCCACTTGGCCTTCCATCTCCCAAATCATACCTCATTGTTTCTGTCTCAAGAAGGGCCTCTCAAACAGCAAGCAGATCAATGACCTCTGCCTGGGTCCAGATCAAAATTAGCAAAGGGAAAGAAAGCAGGAATAGAATCAAAACACAGTTTTTCTAAGCAGGCAGGCTGACTTCTGCAACGTATGTGGTGGCTCTTGGGCAGAGGTCCCACCTGTAGAGTACATGAAGTTTTAGTGCAGAACAGCTTGGGAAGGGAGGTGAGGCCTGCCAAAAAAAAAATCTGGAACGAAAACAGTAACTGCAGGGCTATTATAGTGGTGGAACTACCCCTTGAGGTGAGGTTACTGATGTTCCTAATGGACTGAAAACAGCATGGAGACCTGGAAGTTACAGCACTGCGAGGAACTGAGCTGTGTCAACATGGATCTCTTACAAGGATGCAGCCTGGTTTACAGAGATGTATAAAGAAGTTTAACTTGATACTTTTTTTCCTTAGTTGATAGCATACACTCTGGATGATGCTGTTTGAATCAGTTTAAGTATTTATGCATCATGATACCAATCTATGGGTGTAAAGAGATAGCAAGTTTTGGCCTGTACAAACCAAATACGCTCCGTATAACTAATAAGTTTCCTGGCAAAAACTTATTAGATGGAACACTGAATTGAAGTCAATTACATCACTATTAAATTTTGATGTTGTACACAGACAGAAACAATCATGCTCCCATCACCATTTTACATACTGGATTTTGTTACACCCACACAATCCAGAGAAAGAATAAGCTGTACTCACTTTTGCATGCAACAAGAGTGAACATTTTATTTTTAATTTGATAAAAATACTTGGGGAAAGATTCCTAGGACAAGGTGATACCTGTACAAGGCTACAGGGCAGGAAAGCAGTGGATAAAGCTTGGTAAATGTGAATGTAGGAGTCCAAGGCTTGAGCTGATGGTAGCACTAACACGTCAAACCATGGATGAATGCTTTCCTCCTTAAACAACAGAGTTCAGCTGAGGAAAAAAAAAAAAAAAGGAAAAAAGAAGGAAAATTTGTCTATTATCTTTAAGTATTAGAAGAATTTGCCTGGATGTTTCTCATTGTTGCATGGAGATCAAGAGGTATAGTATGTAGTGAACTGTGGAAGAATAAAACACGGGTTACTGCTGGAAGACTTGGCAGGAAGTAACTTAAGACTGCAGCTCAGCTGAGAGGTGGATAAAATTACAATATACATGGAAATTATCTCCTTAAAAAGACCCATCACATAGTGACAGACTTTGCCCAGCACTATGCAGCACATAAAAACCAAACCCACAGAGGAGAGCCTGTTACTGCATTGGAGTTTCTTATTTTACTACTTTATTAGCATTACACATACTTAGCACTATAGTGCATAACTCTAGTCTGCTATGAAGCCTGTAGGTTATAGCCTAAAGATATATGTTACATTGTATGTAGATTGTATATCCTGAAAATACACAGTAAAGATTTAGTGGTATAATGCTCTCATTATACCAGAAATATTAATTTTGAATGTGAGATTTAAAATAAGTCAGTCTTGAGGCAGTAGTTTTTAATGGTTCACATTGGTTTACAAGCTAGGTCTTCAAGGCAAATTACTTCTTTTCATCTCTAAGAGGTTTACAAATGATGGCACTATCAAAGTAAGCTTTCAGCCCTGTACAATCAAATATTTAAATATAATTGTACCTAATTACTCTGGATTTTTAAGGTTGTTAAGGAGAGTTTGCATAAATACTGTCTTTAAAAGGACTACATATAAATAGAAGTGTAGATTTACATAGCAGTCATCTTGAAATATTTATAAAAGGGAATTTCTAAAAAATAGCATATGGCACAAAGATAATTCCAGATGCATTAGCAGGAGTAAAATGTTTCTTGTAACTAGACCATCCCAATAAATACCCTCAGAAACACAACAACAATGTTAAGAAAGAGCACAACACTCAAGGAGAGATGACCTGGCGTGTAACTAGTTTAAGATGTGGTCAAAGTTATTGTGCTTTCATTTTATGCAAAATAAGGGCTAAAAATACACATTAGGCGTTGTGATTGAAAATAATGCTGGGAGAAGGCCCCAGGAGCGGCTTACATCACCACTGGAAGCTGGCAGGTATTCCTCTGGTAGCCAAAGGCAAAGCACTCTCCTGCCAAAGCTGATAAACCAAAAACCCAAAACCAACCAACCAACAAAACTCAAAAAAACCCACAACCCTAATTTTACAGCTGTTTGTATTTCTTTAAACCCAAACAATTTCACTGCTCAATGTTTTGTCTTTTAAGCCACTGTGATTCATTTAATAAAAAGAAAAAATAAAATCTAAAGGAGAAAGTGCTGATTTTGGGTTGCTTGCAAAAAGTGACTTTTCTGTCCTTCCCCTAACTCGAGATGATTTTCAAACAGTAAACACATGCGCTTTTGGTTTTGTTCGGAAAAAAACCAAATTTCAAATTAAAATTGCTGACTAGCTCTCTATTCATTTCCTACAATTGTCTTGCTTCCTAGAAGCAAATGTCCAGTAGGACGTACCTGGACGAAAACCTCCAAGTTAGCAATTTGCGTTTAGTAAGCTTTCCTATGTCTTATTAAAAAAAAAAAAAAAAACCAAAAAAACCCACAAAACAAAAACCACAAAAAACCTCCAAACCGACAGCGCTTATTCCCTGCCAGTTCTCGAGCCCGGCCATGGCCAGGGCGGGCTCTGTGGCGATGATTTCCAGCACCGCCCCGGTGTAAAGAGCCGCTCGCAGGTTCGCTCTGCTCGGCGGGGAGGGAGAGCGGCACCGGCACCTCAGCTCCGCCCGCGCCACCGAGGCGGCACCTGCAGCTCCCGGAGCAGCACCAGCCCCTGGCGGGGCCGGGGGAAATCTCACCCACCCCTACACCTACACTTCCACCTCCTCCGGGAGGGGCTGGGCACGGGGGAAGTAGGGACACCGCGTCCTTACGGCGGAGCACTCTCTGCCCGGCCGAGGCGAGCGCCGGCGGGGCTGCGCCTTTAAGGGGCCGGGGGAGGCGGTGGCGGGCGGGCTCCTGCGCGCCGGGGCCGCTCCCTCCCGCCGTCCTTCTTTCCCTCCTCCGCCGGCCCGCCGGGCGGTGGGCAGTGCCCGTGGGCCGCCGCCACCGCGGGAGTGGGACGGGGCAGCGCGGCATCCCGGCTCCCGCAGCCATGGCCGGGCTCCTGTGCCGCCGGCTCCCGCTGCTCCCGCTGCTCCTGGCAGCCGGGGGGCTGCGAGCGGCGGAGCGGAGCGGTGGCAGCAGCAGCGCCATGGAGGAGCTCGCCACCGAGAAGGAGGCGGAGGAGAGCCACCGGCAGGACAGCGTGAGCCTGCTCACCTTCATCCTGCTCCTCACCCTCACCATCCTCACCATCTGGCTATTCAAGCACCGGCGCGTTCGCTTCCTCCACGAGACCGGCCTGGCCATGATTTACGGTGAGTCCCGCCGCGGCCGCGGCTCCGCCCGCGCCTCAGCCCCCGGTGTCAGCCCCGGCAGGTGCCGGCAGGGGCGGGGGGCGGCGGCGGGCCCGGTACCGGGCGCGCCCCTCCGTGCTGCCGGAGGAGCACCGAGCCGCTAAGGCTGGCGGGCGGCAGCGCCCGGGTAGGCCAAGCCCCGGGCAGGGGGAGCCCCCCGCCGCAGAGCCCGGCCGTCTCCGCCGGTGCTCCTGGATCCCCTCGCCGGTGCCTTTACTGGGGTTGGGGACAGAAGGACACTGAGAGGGACACGCGGTCCGCAGCCTGCCGTGCGGCAGCAGAGCGGTGTCCTGCGGGAAGGTGCTCCCCAGCGCCGTGGCCGTGCTGCCGGGGACAGCATTGAACCTCCCCGCCGCGGAAAGGCAGCTCGCCGGCCGTACTTCAGCAGCGTGGAGTGCCGAGCCGTGCAGGTCATGGCTTTGGAAAGCGCCATGGCGCTGCCCTCGCCGTGCTGTGGCCGCACCACGCGGAAAGGAGCGTGTTTAGCCTCCGGGTTTGCTCCCTGGCTATCAGAGCGCTGCTGTCACCCGCGGCCCGCGTTTGCGGATCCTGACTGACCGCAGTGACACTGACCAGACACCCTGACACTGTCCGCGGCTCATCCCGAGCCCTCCTGGTGGAACGAGGGCTCTACTGAGTTGAGTTCGCCCACTGCAGGCCCCTCTGCTCGGTGGATGTGAGTAAAGGCGACAGTAAATCCCTCAGGGTAAGCTATGTCTCCCCTGCGTTTATGGGGCTGATGGTCCAGAGCAGCTGGATAACGTTAGTGGTGTGGGCCCGCTCTCCCTGGTGCTGGCAATGCCTGGCGCAGAGGGCGGCGGGTGAGCCTGAACGGCGGACGCAGAGCCCTCGCTCCGCGGGGAACTCCAGAGCTGTGTTCGGTGTTCAGCTTGCCACGCAGAGCATAATGGGTTGCGGTGAAGAGCAGCCATCCATTTGAAAAATTGTCTGCTGGTGATTGGCTACTGCCATAAGCGCCGGGGGCACTTCTTCTCCTTCGCCAGCGGTATCTGTTCCTGCTGAACCGTGCGAAATACCTGCCCGATGTTGGTCGGGATAAGCGTATTGAGGGTAACCACACATGAGAAATTCAGCACTCGAGGGGAGGGGGGAAAATGAAGCTTTTCCTCCCCGATGAGTACTACTGCTCTTGAGGGCTATGTGATTGCTTGCAAAGCAGTGGAATTTTCCTCTGCTGATGCTTCTCTTAAACCATCCCAATTTGCTCTTAGTCACTGATCTCTTTGCTGCATTGCTGTGTACTTCACATATGCTCATTGCTGAAAACCAAGAAATTAACAGCTGGGCATGTAAGTAAGTTATGCACTGGCATGATAATGCTTAGCAGCTGAAGAGTGCCCAGGAGACAGTAGATTAACTATCTGCATTGATTGGAAAAGAGACAGGGTAAGGTGGTATTGAAGATGTCTAGATATTTCCCTAGTGTTGTCACCTTTGGAAAGTTCATTTATGATGTTTTATGATGATTTTAGTGGCTTAGTTTATGCTGAAAAATCTTGTGTATGTGGGTGTGCTAATGCATGCAGTACAAGTGTCAGGGCATCAAGGGCATTTGGGTATGTGTTTTGATGAGCTGCGTGGGAAATGAGAAATTGTTCAGCTGGAGAGATCCTGCCTCTCATTAAACTCAAATTAGTTTGCTCTAACACATAGTCCTTGATCTGTGAAAGGGGTGTTAGGTTCCCAATTTGATGTGCAAATGCTGAAATTTTGTTTTAGGAAAGGCACTGTGCTATATCTCTTTCAGCCCCACTGGCAGCATCCAAAAAAAGAACAATTGGCTCAAACTATTACATTTTCTAAGTGTGCCCTCACTTAAATAATTTTGCTTTCACAGATTGTTCCTCAATATACTTGCCTTCTAAATGATTCCCCTTATTATATCAAAATACGTGCTGTTCTCCCTCCCAAACAAACTGACTCTTGCCTTTTCATGGCAAACATCCTAGGAGACTTGTTCAGTGAGTTCAGTTCCTACCTAGCATGGTTAACCTCCATGCTGATAAAGCTCTGCTGAGACCTGGCTTCACTTTAACATTTCACAGACTTTCTATAGAGCAAAAAGAACAACACAGCAAGTGCCATAGTAACTTTCTGTTATACTTCTGATAACTGGGCTTGAGTCTCCTTTCCTGCCTTGCCGCTTAAAAGACAGCGGTTAAACTGATAGATGGGTTTCTATTTTGCTGATAACTTGCTGTCTGAGAAATGCACTTTAAAAAAGGCTATATATGTATTTACAGTGCAAATGTTTGATCACTCTGTCTTAAACACAAAATCATAAGGCAATATGTCAAGAGTTTGTTGTTTGAGTTCTAAAAGCGCAAGTATCTATTAGTGCTAAATAAAATTGAATTTAGTGCTAAAAATTGAATGTTGAAACCGTATCAAGGGTGCTGCTCTGTGGAAGTTAAATACTAGCAAATGTCAGCTGCTCCAGCAACAGTATTGCTAGCATTGCTGATGCAAGTTATTGTGGAGCGATTAAAAAATAATCCAACAGAACCCAAGCAAACACCACACTGCCGCAACAGAGAAATAAGGAAATTGAAACTTTGCTGACACATGTATTTCAGCTTGTGATAATGATCATGATGCTTGCTGTTCTTAGTGTTGGTCAGAGTTGGAGGATAAAGCGTTCCAAGACATGTTTTTCCTGAAGATGTTCGGTGGTGACTTTGTTTTACGGACTTATGTGCTCTGCTGAGAAGCATCACCATGTGGTAGGAGCAGCAGGACATGGACCATGCCCCTGGACAGCTCAGGGTGGACTTAAGGGTGAGAAGTGATGGTGGGCCCTTAGGAGGCAGCCACCTGGATAAGCAGGTGTTTCCTAGCAGATCCAGTGGCAGCACTGCCAGTAGGCAATTTGTCCCTTTTGATAAGTGGTAATTCAGGTAACCGGCCACCCACGAATCAGCACAGGTGTCAGCCCTGCCAGGTACCTTCTTGTCTGTGGGGCTGTTCTAGAATGTCTGGGGCCACATGTGCTAGTGATGTAGATAAAAGTAAAAGCAAACTGGACTTGGGTACAGTGAAAGAAAAACAGTATATGAAGGGGAATATAATACTTCTATTGCCTTTTGTGGAACACAAATGAGAGAGAAGCCGTATGTCTTCAGGATAAAAATATTATATCTGTTCTGGAATACTATGTATCAGACTAAGTTTCTGTGTCCACCGAGTAGATACAGAAAAGGTCTATTTTTAGCTCATCTGGCTGCAGTGCTCTCTGTTAGAATTCTAGTATCTACACTTGCTAGAGATGACCTGACTCATCTCCACTGCCAGCAAAATAATGTCAGTTTTGGTTTTTAATAAGCCACTTTGACATAAGCCTCCTAATACTAGATTTAGGATCATAACTGAGCACCCAGTTTTGAGACCATTATCCTTTCTCTGTCAACCAGCTTGTTCTTCCTGAATATTATTTTAAATCACCTCACTAAAGGCTTTAAAAATTAGTCTTGCTCAATTTTTCGGCTGCTCAATATGTTTTAATTATAATGCAATTTTTTTTCTGTAAGCTTGCTTTATGGCCTGTGGCTGGGTGGAAAAATTATAAATTCATCTTGTGAGGGAAATTTAGAAGAAATGCTATGTAGCTTTTATTAATCTGCATGTATTTCAGATCTGCTCCTCAGGCAGTGGTAGTTGGATAGCTTATTGCTGCTGCTTCTGAAATACCTTTGGAGTACAATTCATCTCTAGTCCTCAGGACAGTGATTTTGGGTTTCTTTCTTTGTTTCTGTGGGTTAGGGTTTTGTTGTTGTTTCTGTGGGTCTGAGGGTTTTGTTCATTTGTTTCTATAAGGGTAGTTATAGGTTTCTATAGGTAATCTTTAATTAAGATAAATTAGTTCATTTTTATGTTTGTTAACTTAATCTTCACCGGAAGTTCTGTCAAATCAGCACCAGAAAACCCTCTGATCATGGCATAAGCCAAAGAAGAGAGAAATGGCAACATGGATTTCTTTTGCACGAGGAAGCCTTTGGTGCTACACCTGGCTGCTAAAGCTGGTACTGCTCTGCAGCACCGTGTAATTGCAGGAACCACGCAGAGGCTGGAGGGGGAAGGTGTTCCTCTGCATGTACTGTAATTCTCATCTGAATTAGAAAGTTATCACAAACAGATGCCAGATCTGTAATACTGCAGAGCTCACACGCCTGCCTGCCTTCTGCTCCTGTGTGAGTGCTCAGGTTGTGTTGGCTGGAGTGTGCTGAGCTGAGGGGAGGTAACCTGATGTCTGGTGCACAAGCTGCTTTGTCAGAGTGAGATGGTTCCATGATAGGTTAATGTTGCACACCTCTGGGCCCTGTAGGAGCTTGAGGTTTTCCTTGTTCCAAAATAAATTTTCTGAAGTGGACACACTTCTGATTTTTCATTGCTACTTTGCAATAGAAATAGGTCTCTATACAGGTCTGCCAATGATTCCCCCTGAAAGAACACAAGGACTGAACTGCTCTGTAGATGGAGAACATCTGCAGCAACTCTAGTAACTTCTGCTCTTGGTGAAGATGAGGAAACAGAAAAGGAGATGGTGAGGGGGTATATAAAAGCTATCAAGTCCAACAGCATGCCCAGAATTTCTTCTTGTCTTTTCCCCATCTCAGTGCTTCTTTACTTAGTCTTTTGGGATCTGTATTTCTGGCAAGAAATTGTTGTGAGAGAGGTCCAGGTTCTCACTTGTCTCCTTTTTGTTTGGTAAAGTAGGCCTTTGTTTTAAAGATGGTCATAGAAAGGTGATAGGGAAAGTTTCCTTGGCTGTGTTAACAAAAATCTGTGTGACAACTAGTGTGTAATCTTATCTCTGGATTTCACAATACTGCATTGTAAATTTTCTGTAATGAACTGTAATTGGTCATTCAAACAGAATGAACAATTCAGATACTTTTTTTTTAGAAATGTAATTTAAAAATATTGTGCTGAACAGAAGTATT